TAGACCTCTACTTAATAATTATCTGGAAAGCAATCTAACTTGTTATTACAACAGTTTTATTGCAGATTGCTGGTTTAAGACCTTTTTGTGACAAGTGGCATTTTTTTCTTGAAAAAAATAAGTCATTTCTATTCCCCTGTAATTATTTTTTGCAGCCAGTGACAACTTCCTGCTTTGGACATATCGGGACATTTTATTTTAGAAACCAAGAATTAAATTCTTGCTAACTTATGGCCGATCTTATCCTATTTATCATGCTGTGAAGGCTTCCTGTTTTTTTTTTTTTTTCTTACATCTTACCTCTTTTTAATCCTGCTTCCTGATCCCAAACTGGTCCTCTGTACTTTGAAACACAAATAGTGTGGGTAAAATCAGAGAATGGCTGTGAGGACTGGATGGCTAATGCCTGTTCTCCTCTACATCACCGCCCAAATGGTGTTGAATGATGCAAGTAAATATATAACCACAGGGCTTCATTTGGGGAGGTCTGAAGGCATATTCTTAGCTAGGTACCCCTTGTAAGACGATCCCAAGGATAAATCGCTATGTGGATCTTAGACTCAGACTTGCATCTTGGCACAACAGATCCAAGGTCAAGATTAGATTCCCAGAACCTATCACTGCTATTATTTTCTTCAACATCCTTCTTTTCCATTCTGCCTGCTTGGACCAAACAAGACAAGCTAAGAAGCAACTTGTTTCAGGACCCAGTACTCCTCTCCTTTATTCTACCTACACTTTCCTAGTTTTCTACTCTGTCCCTTGTCCATCACTTCAGTAACTCATGAGATTCTGTAGCCCATTCATTTATTGGAAGTTTGTTCTTTGCACATCTCAAGATGCTAGGAAGCAGAGCGTGCATCCTGTACTAGTGATGCTCAACCTAGAGTGGAGAGAGAGAGATAAGCAAGAGATCAACCTTATCCGCTCCCCTTTTTCCTTGCCTCCATCCCCTCTTCCACACTGGACACCCCCACCAGAGCCTGGATCTTGGCTATATCCTTCAACCCAGGACCTTGACACTGGCCACCTCCCTGTGACCAAAAACTGTAGTTTGAATACTCATGGTGGATCCATAGTTCTGCTTTCAATCTGAATCATGGTTTATTATTCAATGTATTTTTCCAAGTTCCTGACAATACCCATTAGAGCAGGAGTTAAAAACTTAGATACCCATAGGGGGCAGAAAGTTAGCAAAAAAACATGAAGAGTGAGGGGGTGTGAGACAATAGGGAGCAGTGGGGACTGTGGCACAGTGGAGAACACGCCCCCTGGGGAGAGGGGTGAAAGAGTTCTTCATAGTACCAGTCCTTTTTAGCCATATGGATGGTGATTTCAGTGTGCCTTTACCTGATTTTGCAAGGAAAGCAGAAAAGCCATTCTTCCTTTAATGTGAAATCACCTATTGGTATCTGTTTCCAGCTTTTAAAAAACAATGTTAACAACTAAGCAATGTGTCTGCACGTTGGGCTATGACTACTGCTTTCCTTTCTCCATTCCTAAAAGAAGCATCTGTGTAGCACACTGTATTGAGATTTGATTTCCACTTTTGGCTTCCTAAACATTCTTGAGGAATCCAGGACCTCATGCATGCTAGCCAGGTATTCTACTGCTAAGTTATATTCCCAGACTCACTTTTGTCTTTTTAGTGTAAAAGCCATTTGACCTTCAGCCAGTTGCTAGTTGCTTTGTCCGCTTTGGACTTCAGCTTATTTTCCACATAAGAAGGTCAGGATCAGCCACTTTGAAAGGGTGGTGTGACACTGTTGGCATATATTCCCTTGGTTTATACCACTCGGTGCCTCTCCTCTCTCATTTCTCCTTTGGCCAGTGAGCAACAGCTTGTTTTGGGCTAAAGGGCTTCTTAAAAGGATGTTTCTATCAGGGAGTGTAGAGTTATCTTAGAAAGTGGGGAAGTTTTGTCGGGCATGACAGTGATCCCAGCAACTCAACAGGCTGAGGCAGGAGGATTGCAAGTTTGAGGCCAGCCTCAGAAACATGGAAAGGCCATGAGTACTTAGCAAGACCCTGCCTCAAAATAAAAAAATTAAAAAAGAGCTTAGAATGTGGCTCAATAATTCAATCCCTGGTACTGAAAAAAAAAAAAAAAAAGAGAGAGAGAGAGAGAGAGAGAAAGAATGTTAGATTTTGGATTTGAAATTGAAAGAGGGCTTAGAGATCTGCTGTCCATCCTTTATAAGGTTAACAAACGTGCATGAAGTTGCATAGATTGTGTTGACTTTCTAGCATTAGGAATCTCCTTTCCTTTTATATCCAGTTACTAAATGGCATTATAGTAGCTTGGAATAAATAATTCACCATTACTGTGAGCAATTCTTTTCTTCTCACTAGTAGGCTTAGTTTCACAAAAGCTAAGCGATTAAGATTAAGATCTTTGATCCCATGAACTACCAGAGGCCGAAATTGGAATGGTCGTGGCTTATAGGATAACAACAAATTAACCTTTGCATAATCCATGCTAAGTGAAGACCAGCTTTCTCCTTGAATTTTTTTTCTTTTTGGTATTTAATGACTATTTACATTAGATAGTGGTTTCTTAATCTGGCAATTTGGTCTGATAAACATTGCATAAAGTACCTGATTTTTAAAACTAATTTAAGCTCTAAAAGTAGCAACCCCATAAAGGGTGCATGTAAGTGGAGCTCTATGGGACATAAATTAAGAAGGGCATTTTCCTTGCTGCACTTGGACATGTGTGCTGGTGTTTCAGCAAGCTGCATAATCAGCACAAAGCCCAGGTCATTAGAGTCTGCTGGCAGGAATCAGAAGACCTGCAAATCACCAGAGAGCCCACATACACCTGAATGGAAGTGGGTCTCTGAAATCTATCTCTTGAAGGCAAGTCTGTGAGACCAGGACCTCGCATATAGGAATGAGCAATTGGTCTCATTCCTCCTGGAGAACTCAGGGCCTTTTCCAGAACTGTTCAGGCTGACTGTGTCACTTCTCTATTTAAAACCAACTAAAGGACACCCATTCCTTGGAATAAGCTGCAGACTCCTTGCTGTGGCAAAGTTCTTGTGACCTTGCTCCTACCTTGCCCTATGGCCTATTCGCTATCACTCTTGATCTTGCTCACTCAGTTTCATCCTCTCTGGCTTTATTGCTGTTTCTCAAACACCCATAGTTCTTTTCTGCCTCAAGGCCTTTGCACGTGCCATTTCTATTCCACAGAAAAAATTTTTTCCCCTTATCATTCCATTGCCTGCTCCCCAGGCTCCATTGTTCTGTATATCCTCAGAATGGTCCTCCTGGTCTGTCACAGGTGACACACCCTTTGCCATTCACTCTTCATTCCCTTAGGTTGTTTTCTGCATAGCATGTCATTTTCTGAAAGCTTATTATTTGTTCACTTGTATGTTTGCTTATTGCACATCTCTGCCAATGCAAAATCAGCTTCATTGGGGATGAAAATGTATATCCTGATGGGTATTAGCTAGACACCTAATGCATAGGCACTGGGCAAGTTGCATGGGTTTTCTGAACCTTAGTTTAACCACCTTTAAAATAGATACCAATAGGAGTCTGAAAAAGTGGGGTAAAAATCCTCTCTCTCAGGGATATTGTGAGGAATCAAGTTAAGGAAGGCCCTGCCCCTTGACCCAGCACCTTATCCCCCATATAATTCTGGAACTAAATAACTGTCAACTCTTTTTTTTTAATCTATCAGTCAACCAAGGTTTCATTATCCAAAAAGTCCTTAAAGACATAAAGTGATAACGCTCATTGCAAAAACTTGTAATATATATGCAATTCATTTTTTTTGTTTGTGAGTTTTTATTTCTGAGTATGTAAATATATTTTGCATGTAATTCTAGCATATTATTTACAAGTTTGCATCTTGTTTTATAATAGTATTTGTTGATTTTATATTTTGAAATAGTCTGCAAAAAGTCATTTTGAATGCTGCCTAATACCAACCTTGCACCATGTAAACATTGCCTTATTATTGGACACTTAAGTTGCTTTGGATTTTTCTACACTACATAAATAACACTGACCTGAACATCTTATGTATAAATATTTTATGGCACCTCTTATTATTTTCTTAGAATTAAAACTTAGTAAGTGGAAATCATTTTTTTTAATGAGTTCTTCATAGCAGTGGGTACATTCTCTGTGCACTATGGAGAATTCTCAACAAGTCAAAAACTTTTCAAGAAGTTGCTCTGGTGGATGAGGGAAATTGAGACACATGAAACAATAAGCAACCAGCACTGGTATAAAATAGACTCTAGGCCAAATGCTATGGTTACAGATGAGGTGATGGAAGAGTCCTGAGAATAAAATCAGGGGTAGTGTTACCTGGAGGACACCTATGGCTTGGAAGATTAGATGTGGTGTGGCCTGGGAGGAGGGGCAGGAGCAGAAGAGAAGGCATTTGGGCGGTGGGAGGAGGCAGCAGTGAAGGCAGCGAGCCTGGAAGGAGCCAGCCACAAAACACCGGGCAGATGAGGTGAGACAGCTTGGATGGAGCCAGTAGTGATATAGCCGTAGTCATGTGCTGGGCACTTACACGGAAGCAAAGTATTATTACCATCATTCCAGGCACACAGGGGTCTGCTCGGAACAACAATATAAACCATTTGTACCAAAGACCGAAATGGAATCCAAACAGGTCCAGCTGCTCCAAATCTCTCCCTCCCCCTGTAGTTAACATTTTACTACCCGACTGAGTAACTAATGAATCTGGCCCTGTGTAAATCCCCAGGCAGGAATCCCTGCTTGGGGTCTGTCTAGACATCCAGACCTGAGTGCAATTTGCACTTTGAACATCCAGCACCTTATCATAAGCAAGAAATCAGGTTTAATGGGGAAGAGGGGGGCCTGTAGCTTCCACCCTCTCTCTGGCACTGGCACAGAGGAGTGAGGATCCCCTTGTATAAAGACTGTATCTGTAGACTGAAAGGTCGTAACAGTGTTCCTTGTGTGTCTCGGCTCATCCAGGAGCACTGACTGCGTTCTCTGTCTCCTTGCAGGCTGTGTTTTGTGAAGCTCAAGCTCCTAATGATAGCCATTGAGTACAAGTCCGCCAACCGAGAGAGCCGGTAAGTTGGCTACCTCCCAGCAACCCGTTGACATCCAAATGTGTGAGTGTTCATTCTGAGAACTTTTAGTCCACTCCCTCTTTCTTATGCGTTGTTTATTTGCTTTGAAACTGATGCAACACCTCTCTGACCCTAGGGGTACACTTAAAGCATGCTCAACTGGACACTGCAGCTCCTATCTCAGACCAACCTAACATCCCAAGTTCAACTGGGTATCCGGAGAGGATTTCCCCAGATGAGAGGGATGAGCCATTTAAGTATCTTCACCTGATCATGCCAATATGGGCATTTTGCCCTCTAAGCATAAAACAAGGAACAAGACCATTTCTTGAAACCCTTGTTTACCTCTGTGAGAAAGAAGCAGGTGGACTCAGACCTCCTTTACAGCAGGCCTGGGGTAGAGCCATGATGGGAGACACCAGCCCTCTTGATAGCCAAATTACAAGCAGCCTATTGTGTACCATATGTGCTTCTCCCATTGCAGCTGAAATCCAGGTGGCAGAATATCAGCTTCATGTAAATTAGCCAGAAGAGCAGAGCTCGGGGGCAGGAGCTCTCTTTATTTATTTATTTTGCACTTAATTATGTACAAATCAGACTGATGAGGGACAGGGTCTGGTTGAAATAGATAACGCACCAGTCAATACATGGGATCGCGGCTGGAAGAGGGTGTTATCATGTTAACATGGAATTTTTTTGATAGGGTATTGAATGCATTGCAGATCAAATATAAAGAGATGATTTTTGCTCCCCACTTCTTATCAATAGTTCTGGAAGAAAGAGAGCTGGTTGAGAGAGGCTCTGGCTTTTGTTCTCTGAAATGACATATCCAGAGTCTGTTCCTCCTTATGGTAAATCATTTGTTCCTGCAGATAGAAGCACAAGGGTAGAATGCAGACACCTGCTGGCACATGCCTTCAAAACTGAGCAGATGCAGGGCAAGACTAGAAGGTTCCTCTATCATCATTTAAGGAGTTTTCGTTATCTGGAAGAATGCCCCAATAAAGCCAGACTTCCAAATGTACAGTCTGTGTCTATGACCCCAAATAAATAAATAAATAATAAAGAACCCTCAAAACACTGGATTGTAATCAAGTCCAATCCAATGTTTTCTCTTACCTTAACTACCAGATCAGATTGCATGCAAAGTCAATCTGATCAAATGCTGAACTACTTTGAAAATCCAAATCTGCCAGAGGAAGATGAAGTGGTAGATTTGGTGGCCACATGTAGAACACGGCTCTAACAATTAACAGATATGTATATATATGTATACATTTTCCTTTTCCATGTTGGCAAAGTGAAAAATAATGGGAAAAAGCTAAGAGGGTCCTGGCTATTCACTGTTCAACAGATAAAGTGGAATTTTCCAGGGTGACGGTTTGCCCATGGTTTTGCCAGTCCTCAACTGTACCTGTTGGGGGGGGTGGGGCTTGTGTATCCTGGGTTTTTGCAAATTATATTCTTCACATTGCCAAATCAGTAAATCTTTGTGTAACTCTGTGTTCTCTCTTTATCACTTTTGTGCATTTCTCTTCTCCACCCCCCAACCAAAAAAAAAAGTGTCATGATGATGCAAATCGTGTTTTTCCTACCATTCTAGAATAACTTCATGGCAGGAGACTGCTTGATAAACCTTGACCAATTTCCTACCTGGTCACAAGGAAAGAGAGGGATAGGCAATTAATGGTTCAGTGTGAATTCGCTGTTACCATTCTAACAAAATGAACTCAGTGATCTCCCTGAGAACAAAATCTCTTCTTTGATGGGCCCTCTAATTGATTCATAAATCTGAGATGTTTTCAACAAAGCCATATTTATATATACATATATATATGTTTTCAGATTTTAAAAAAATAGGTGAAAAGAACTTGTTTGGCTTTGTTTTGGCTTTCTGTGTATGGTTGCCAGCTCTGATCCTCAAATGTGGCTTGGTCTCAGTGTGGAAGAACTTTGGTTCTTGTGGGAAAAGGTGTGTCTGAGGGAATGTGGATCATGCCCCTGAGATAACCCAGGACTCATCCAACAGAATGACCATGTTTAAAATAAGCATTTTTGGATGCTCCCTGAGAAAACAATTTTATTTTTTTCTTTATGTAAAAAGTCCCCCATTTCTTTCCCTCTCATATTTTGTAACTAACCAGGTGTTCAGGTGCGGAGAAGCCTGCCTCTCCCCCCACCCTCTGGCCTTCAACCTGTGTTTAACAGCCTCCTTTGTTATTGGTTTCACCCCATGATACTGTTTTCATGCTTTGCTGAAAAACCTTGTTTTCACATGCATCCTTCAAGTGATTTGAAACAAAGGTTTTATTCCTTCTTTCCTTCTGGTGTCAGTCAATTTATTATCAAATTGTTTGATTTTAAATTCTTTTCTTGTCGTTTTTGCAGAAGCCGAAAGCGGTATGCACTCTTCGTTAACTTTCCTTCCAACCTCCACCCTCTGTCTTCACTCCTAACCACAGGACTAACCATTTGCCAAGAATTCAAGAAGAGAGAGATTATATATATAGATGTACATATATATAATCTCATTCCCTTGTCTAGTGTATATATATGTTAAATATATATATATATATATATATATATATATATATATATATATATATATCCCTCTCCAACTAGAGTACATGAAAACTAACTGTAGCCTGTTGCTGTCCTTGTTTGGTTTGTTGATTCTTTTGGATGACGCACTAACTTCTTTGCAGGAAACTTAAAACAAGAAAAGGCATAATCCTATTTTCAGTCAGGGCACCAATGATGGGAACAAATATTAGTAAAGTTGAAAAGGAGGATGCTTCTCTCCAGCCCTTTGTGTCTGTTTTTGTATTGTCCTAATGTGTCTTGGTGTCCACCAGATGCGGGTGCCGTTTTGTCCACATCCCACATCCACGTTCCCTGTGACCTCCTCCTTCCTGTGTTGTTTCCACTTTGTAGAGCACAGTTTCCGTCCTTTCACCACAAAACAGACACCAAACCCTTATGCTTTTATTTTTTCCCAATCCTTATTTTGGTGATCTCATTTTAAGAATTTAATTTGTTGGGCAGTGCTCAGTAAAGATGAAGAACGCTGCTATTAAATTGCAAGTATCACACTTGATTTACTGAAGGAGTGCTGTTTACTGGGACAAGCTCAATATTTCTTAATAAGAAGTAGCTCAACTTCTTCCACTGTGTGACTTCATCCTGTTTTGCTGCTGTTTTATGTTGCATGAAGCATGACTAAATCATCATCAATGGCATTTTTTTTTTCTTTTACTTTTTGGTTAAAATTTTCAGCATAGTTTTTCAGTAATGTGTTCTCTAAGAGAGTATTGTTGAAAACAGATCATTGCAAGGCCTACTTGTTCATCTTTCCAAGAGTTGTTTTTCTCCGTGGTTGTGATCACTGTCATGTGTTTGTGTTTGTACTCGTGTGTGTGTGTTTGTGTGTGTGTTTGTGTGTGTGTGTAACTCTTTCCACAGTCAGCTCTCCTGTGATTTTGGAGCAGATGTATAATAGAGGTGGCTTCCTGTCAGTTTGGTATTATTGATATGATCCAACTGCAAGAAGTTACTGCAACACTTTGCATCTTCAAAGGTCCACAGTGGTTGCACCTCTGCTGTTGGCTTTTGGCCTTTGAGTCTTATTATCTTGTGGTGAAGGCATGATGTGATGTAGGCATGACTTGTGCTAAAGTGACATGGCTTGCTCCCAGAACCAAATAGCTTGCATTGTCCTTCTCAGATCAGCTCTCTCCTCTCCATCCCCATGTGGCTAATATTTTCACATGTGAAAAATATATTTTAATATTCTATTTCTAAAATTATTGAGGTGGATTTGGGCTAAACAAATCCTTGCCAGTATCCCCCAGGGACCAAGGTTTTGGTCCTTTGAGTCTGATCAACTGGGAGCAACCTGTATTACGTTGTCTCTATGGAAGTGAACTGGGCTTAATATATTAAAGCATGGGATACACAACTGTGCTTCCTACACATATCCTCAAGTAAAGTGTGTGTGTGTGTGTGTGTGTGTGTGTAGTTGTGTGGGACTCCAGCAGCACATATTGAAAGCCCAGAAGAGATGAAAAGTTCCAAAAAGGTGATATGGTTTGAGACTTGGGGTTTCTCTGAGCTGTGCCCTAACACAGCCCACAAATTGCAGTGCAGTTGAGCTCTTAGAGGGGGTACTTTTGGTGCAAACAAATCCCAACTGAGAGCAATTTTATATGAATGTGTGTGTTCAGACAGGCCCATCCCAGTGGTGTGAGATATCTGGGCATAGCATGAGCTGAAGTCCGAGTTGGATCTTATTTGCTTGCTACAGTTAATGAAGTCCCATTAGTTTGCTGGACACAATTATAATTACCATATTATTGAGTATAAACTGTATTCTCATATGAGCCATGATATTTTATTAATTGCTTGGGGAATGGTACATGACACCTACCAGAAATGGAGGGGAAGGAGGGAAATACACACCTATCATATTTGTCCATAGTGGATAAAAAGTTTTCTTTAAAACAAGATCTGTTTCACTTGAATTGCCAATCATTGGTCATATCCCCAAACAGTAAATAGGTTATGTTTATAACAATTGAAGAAGAGATCATGGATCACTAAGTATTTCCATTGTTATTTGTAAATGTTGGACAAAAGGGAAAAAAAGTCATTGCTCCCCCACCAAGCCCTGGTCCTCCAACCTGAGCAGTGTCCACCAAGAAATGCCCAATAAAATGCCCAATAAAAGAAGTGCAGGTGAATACCTTTCAAAGACTCCCAATACAGGTGATTCCATGTTGGACTGATCCCTACTGCCCCATTCCACAAAGATGAGTCTTATGTTTAGGAACATAAATTTCATTCGGAGTAAGTTCTACTTTCAATATTGAAATCAACTGCTCCAACTCCCCAAGTGACTCACTGTGTCTTTGCATATTTTCATATTTATACTTAATGCCCAGAGATTATGAGCTTGGTAACCAATCTGCCAGAAGATGTGGTCATTCCAGGGGTCAGCCTAATGATTTGGAAAGAACAGAGGGAACTACCTTTCATCTTATTTGAGAAGGAAAGGAAAACTCAGAACTGAGACCAGTGATTTAAAAGTTTCATTCATTCAACAAGAGTTGAGAAGTCCTGTTGCATTCTACTGAGAGAAATTTGGAAGTAAATAGAACATGATTATATTTTGCACCCCTCTACTCAATGATAGGTTCCTTACAGAAAATATGAATTTATTCTACATACTGATGGGTGGACAAAGAATAAGGCTTGATATGGAACTAAATTGAGAGCAAAAAAGAAAGGGGCTACACCAGCCCTGTGCTACCAGCTGTCATAGGGTGCTTTCAATTGAAACCAACAAGTTAATAGAAAAGAGGGTAATTTATATGTTCCTTGAAATGAGGGAATGTCTACCCCTGCCAAGATGTCCTTATTGGAATTCTGCTAATGGATATATGGTCTTCTTTTCTTAGAGATTTTTCTGGATATTTCACATGACACATCTTGAAGTTTATCTCTGATAAGCTAGTGAATTAGATAAAGTTGGAGCCAGAGAACTGATTTAAAGTGGCACATAGGAAAAGGGACTTTTGGCAGTCATAAGAACAAAATGAGTTAACATTGAATAGTCTCCTAAAGAGATTTTTGGAAAATTTTACATATTCCCATTAGGAGGTCAATAAAAAATTCTAGGGGTAGTAAGCATTTTCCTGGAAAAAGTAAGAACATTTACTTGTCTAAAATCCTTATGTTTTTATATTTTCCAGACGAGGAGGATTAACACTTTATTTAAACTTTCTAGATTTGGAATGTGGATAGAAGATTTAAAATCTGATCTATCAAAAACAGTAAGGTATTTCCTGAAATAGTCTTTTGAATTCAGTCCTGTTGCATAGGGAAATGTTGTGGGCCCCTGGAAACAAGGACATGTGCTTCTTCCCCAGACCCTGAAATATAAAAGTTGAATCCAGCACAGCGACTATCTTTATGCATCTCAGTTTTTTTCTTTCATTTTCTTGAGGGCTGGGGTTATTCTTTCAAGTCCCACCCAATAGGCTATCTTAGCTCTGCCTTGGTATCTGCAAATGGTGCTGCTTCACACCTCCCATAAGGACTCTCTAAATTCTCCCACCCCACCTACAGGAAGGGATATTGGGATTGCACAGTCCGTGAGGCCCCTGGAAATGCTCTCTGTTCCATGTGCATTAGCCATAAGATTTAAGGGACAGGCACTATTCATGTGTTGCTAAAAGCCATTCTGAATGAGCTCATCTCCAGATTTGTGCAGAGATAAAGTATTTCAGGTGCTGCAGTCAGGAAAAGGGTCAATTTTGGGGTGGGTTTTTAGTATCAAGGACAAAGTGGAGGTTAGAGTTGTGGTCCTATGAGAGTTTATTTACTCTCATTTTCCAACCACCTTGCTCATAATTAATGGAAAGCATAGATTAAAGACCTACTATATCTCTCAGAGAATAGTACATACTTTAATTTAAAGACACTGTAAACTAATGATTATTTATCCCCATTTTACTGACGAGGAAAATGAGGCTTAGCTGTGTCCACATGCCCAAAGCCAGGGATCCAAATGGATGGAGCCTGACTTGTGCACCTGAGTGCTGACCCACCATTGGAAAGTTATGTAAGGTGCATGTATGATATGCTACAATGAAACCCTCTCTTCTATATAATTAATATGTACCAACAAAAAACAATTACAATTAATGGGTGAATGACAGTGTACCCTATGTCAGTGCCAAAAATCTTTCCTTTCTGGCACAATAACATGACCAAAAGAAGCTTGAAATCTGTAATGAATGATCTTAATCGGTACTCTCTAGAATGCCAATCCCAAATTTTTACTAAGGGCCAATTCTTGTTCACTGTAGATAAAGAAGAAAGGAAATGAGAAGAAACTTCTCATTGATAGGAACCTTGCTATCATCATATTTCACAATGACATGGCGGGTTCGCTCACTAGAGTGCAATTAATGAGGCCCACAATGTTAGGCAAGGAAGCAGGGGTCTACGGGAGGCTTGTTTTGTGCACATGTGTCACCAAGATGATGTATGTCACATTTTCAATTCCATTGCTCAAATCATGTGAGGATTTTTTTTTTCCCTACTCAGAAGCTTTTCTTCCATTCTTATGTTAGAAATATAGACTTTTCAATCTTTAAGGAACTAGCTTTTTTAGGCACCAGAAGTGCATGGGGTTTTTAATGGATGCCTGGTGCATCAACCTGCATTGTACAACCCTGTAACTTTGTCTCATTATGGACAGGGTATTTTGATAAGATGCCCTGTATTTTATCCCATGGGGCCATTTAAAGAAACTCTGATAACTATTGACAATGAAATATACTTGGGTGTTTTTTGTTTTTTACAAGAATAAAATACTAAAAGTAAAATAAAAAGTAACAATACCCATCATGCATTGAGCTCTTTATATATTACCTCACTCCATTTTCTGAAGGAAGACTGTTGTTATCATGAACCTCCTCTTGTAGGGGTGAAAGTTGAGTACTAGGGTTTAGTAACTTGCCCAAACTCAGGCAGCAACTCAGTGACAGAGCTCAGATTTGGACCCAGTTTCTGACTGCAAAGTCAGACGGAAGTGCTGCCTTGCAAGAAAAGGAGTTAAGAAAATGAGCAGAATTCATATTTCCACCTTTCTAACATGTATTTAATTGACTTTGGATAAGAAATCCACCTAAACTGTATAAGCTCTGACCCTTTCCCCTCATAATCATGCTATATCAGAGGCCTGTGATACCAGTGTGTGAGTTGGCAGAGGGGCAATTAGGAGGTGCCTGCATAAGGCTGTTGCCTGTTATAAGCTGTTCTATTAGTTTGGACTACTGCTTTCTGATTTGGAAGGCATCTCATTGCTGTCTGTGATTCTGGGGTAGAACAGTCAAATCTTCATAGTCTCTTGCTGCTATTTAGTGTTAATAACAGTGATGACACAGGCCTGATTTCCTCCTGTCAGGTCTTGTTATAGGTAATGGTGGATGTTCTAACCACAATTATTTGTGCAGTAATGATTTGCTCATAACACTCCCAACAGAACAAAAGTTCACCCAGGCCCTTCCTGTACTGCTGCAGACAGATGGCTCTTGGCCATGACACTTTTCTGGAATGGTTTTACCAGCAGAAAAAGATTACATGTTAATTACATTCCTCCATCTTGGTTGTGTTGGGCATGTGAGCACTTCCTTTAGACCGATTCCAAATATCTTTTACCTTAATCACCAGCTTTTCAGATCAAAGAATACTTTTGTTGTCTATTGCTTCAATTAGAATCACCAATTCAGTACCTATTAAGCCCAAAGCCTCCTCCCAGTCTCTGGTAAAACATTCTCGTATTCTACTTTTGATCTGCAGAATATTAAACTTGTTTGTTTTGCCCATTTATTAGATTAGGATACATTTATCTCTCCTGTCAGTCCAAACACAACTTGGTCAGCTAGTCTATTTATACCAATTTGAAATAGGACAGTGAATATTTAGCTTCCTACTTCCCTTTAGGGGTAATTTTCATTTGTTTTCTAACTACAGTTTGCCCCTAATGATATGCTAACCATACATCTTATTCAAATACCCCTTACATTTTTATAAATAGCAGACTGGAATCATTACCTATATCCAACTGCAGCATTTTTCTTTTACATTGTCTGTCTAGAACAAATTCTTCCTACCTAGGATTTACATGGAGTCTACTTCCATGTCCTCATCAATGATATGAAGACATTCAGTTTGCTTCTGTATTGATTATGGGTAGCTTGTACCATTCCTCAAAGTAATATGTGGTATGTTTGTGTGTATGTTTCTATATGCATATAGGGGTCCCATTAATGCTCTATCATCTAATGGAAAATTAATGTGGCAAGAACTTCATTAGAACACTGATGTTTCAATGCTGAACATCAATAGAGTTTCAAAAGGGATATATTGTGAGGAACTTTGCTTCACGTCCAAGGCCCATGGTGGCAGCTAGATTGCCTCATCGTGCAAACCTAGGCCTAAAGCAAAGACTTGCTTTGATTTCCTCGACTTGGAGTATGCCAACCCAATATTTAACCAGTAGAGTTTAATGATGACGTTCTCCAATTAAATGTGTGGACCAGTGAACATCAAGCTCTAGAGATAAACCTTTGGAGAAAGCATTAGACTAGTGGGGCCCCTATAAAAACAACAGTATGGTGTTGCCTTCAAAGTTTTACTCAGAATGTGACCTCACATATATGTCTTCTTCTTCTTTTTTTTTCACTGAGCAGTATATTAATTAATCCTGGAAACCACCTTAAGATCCAAGAAGGTACTTTAGGATTTTTCATCGCAAGTGATGCCAAAGAAGTTAAAAGGTAAGAGTTTTATTTCCATCCACCTTTCTTTCTGGCTCAGCCATAAACATCTTGGTCTGCTGATGGGCATGCTTCCATATGGATAGGACTCTGACCCCGAAACTGCTTAACAAATCTATGGGCATCAAATGGTGCAGAAGTTTAAGAAACAGATATGTGCTTTCAATTATGCCCCCTGTAGATTCCTTTTCATGTAGTCAATTCCAGACCTTTGAATTAAAATAATAAATTTTTAGAACTAGAAAGCTTAGTGACCTGCTGCTTCATCTTACAAGTGAAGATACTGAAGCCCAGAGAGCAGAAGTGACAGCTCCAAGTCATCCTGATTCTCGCTGACCCAGAGGGACTCAACAGGAGAGCTGGTTCCTTGTCTAGTGTTCTTAATATTATCTGGGCAAACTTTCTCTTGAGAGTTATCAGATTTTTCTATAAGTGCCAAATAAAATTTCAAAGAATTTGGATTAATTTCAGATAATACATCAAAATAGCTCTATTTCTTTTTGCAACCTCCTAGGAAAATAGCTAGAGTCTCAGCTGCAATTGTGTCGTCTCTATAGGCAGAGCCCAGGATTTTATAGGCTTCTGTGTTTCATGGCATATTTGTGCCCTTACAGCTGTTTAAGGAGCTTAGGGAATCGAAGGGCTATAGATTCTATTCTATCAACTTGGAAAAATTTATTAGCAGGAATATGTGATGCCAATGCCCAGGCAGGTCACTCACCTCAACATTAATGTTAACATTAAGTATTTTAAGTCTTTAATTATTTATGAAAGTGTACTTGACTTCATTTAACGAGTTTCTACTCAAAGCTAGCCCTGTCCTAGATGTGTTACCTTCTCTATGGTTTCTCTTCCAAATAACCCTAGAAAGTCAGTCTTGATAAACACTAAGGGCTTTGGCTTCCTCATGTATAAAATTAATATAAATGAGCCACACATGGTGGTTCATGCCTGCAATCCCAGTGGCTCAGGAGGCTGAGGCAGGAAGATCACAAGTTCAAAGCCAGCCTCAGCAACTTTAGCAAGGCTCTGAGCAATTCAGCGAGGCCCTGTCTCTAAATAAAATACAAAATAGGGCTGGGGATGTGGCTCAGTGGTCAAGTGCTCCCGAGTTCAATCCCCAGTAACTCCCCACCCCAAATAAAATTAATATAAATGATTTGTCCAAGGTCACGGAGCACACAACAAATGGCATAGTCCTGGTGGGAACTAGGTTTTCCTTTTCTAAAACCCAGTCTCTTTCTGCCAATCTGGTAATGCTAATGTGTCATTATAGAGGGCTTGCCTAGTACCAGCTCTGTTCTGGGTACTAACTACCTTCTTGGTGTTATGATCTCACTCACTCCTCACACAATCTTCTGAAATAGGTAGCGTGATTATTCCCCATTTTGTATGTGAGGAAACTGAGGCACAGACTGGCTAGTCAACTTGCCCAGAGTCATACAGTTAGTGAGTAATAAAGCCAGGATTTAAATCTAGAATGTCCAGTTCCAGGGCCTGTACTCTTAATTATGTGGCAAGGAGAGAGAGAGAGGCGCGCTGACGTGCTAAGCACAGAACAATGAACCTTGACAACTGATGCTTATGATTTTCTTTCTTTCCACCCACTCTAGCAAATGACCCATCCTAGTTAGAAAAAAAATTAGGAAAAAGAACATACAGGGTGTGGGAGCATGTTTTTCTTTTTAACTGAGCTTTTCCCTAACTCAAATTTTCTTCTATAAATTGGGAAAAGATTACCATTATTTATTGTGAGAGAGAAGTACCTCCCTACCCGTTCATAGAACCTAACTGTTCTTCAGAAGTATCCTGAAAACAAAGTTCACAAGAGACAGGGACAGAGGGTGCATGGGGTTGACCCCAGGCCCTCCGGAGGGGAAGGCTGTGTTCTCATCCAGAAATGAGACACAAAAGCCAGAAGCACATCTCAGCACTACACACAGGAGGCTGGGGAGCACAGCCGTGCAGTACATCATGTGCACTTCCCAGATAGCATATAGAACAAGAAGCTCCCATTTGTGTAATTCTATTTCCTATTGCATCTCTCACTAATGAATGTCACAAATACCAGGCAGTCCAAAAAACAAATTACCTCCTGTATTAGGGAGTGCAATATGTCTCATTTCTGTGCTTTATGGTCTTCACAAATACATGCTGACACAATCAGCTACAACCAGCCTGTAATTTTCCGTGGTGTGTGATGTGTCAGAGCAAATGCTGTCAGTTAGGGGATTTCAAAGAGATGAAGACTGCAGAAAACCACAGAAAGGACATTGGAGATTTGAATGAAACTAAACAAGTTTTGTAAAAATGGAAAAATAGATTATGACGATCTAATATTGAGTTTGCACCCTCGGCTGCAGAAGAGAAACAAAAGAAGTTAATGAATTCTAGAGCCCAGGAACTTTGAAATGCAGTGCTTCAGAAAAGAGGAGTGAAGCCATCCAGTTCTAGTCTTCCAAAGGTCACTTTGGGATGGGTGTTTGGGAAACTTGTCCTTTACTCCTTGTCCCTAAATATTTTTCCTTTTAAATAACCTTGGAATATGGTCTCATGGCTCACTGACCCCATTTGGCTTGCAGATATGATTTTTGTTTGAGTCACAATTTTAAAACATAAATCAGTTGCCAAGATGAAAAAAACTCGTCTGCTTTTATGTGAAAATTTACTGGTTTCTCCTGAAAAATTGGCAATCACGGGAGGCCTCATATTCATTCATTCACTCATCAAACTCATTCACTCATAATGCTTAGGAGGCTCTGCACGGGGGTCCAGGGGGATAGTCATGAGCAATGGAGAGGAGTCCCCACTCTCACGAGGCTCACGTTCCAGGGAGGAGAGAAGTACAGGCTTTTAAAATGTGTGGTGAATGAGCAAACACAATTTCATTGCTGATTTCGGTTGGGTGTAGGTGAAGGCTGCTCTGAAGGGTGGCATCTGAGCAGAGATAGAAATGAGGGAAGAGAGTCCCTCATGTAGAGGCGAGGCAGGAAGAAGAGATATGGTGGTAAGAACATCCTTGTGTTCAAAGAACGCAGGAAGTATGGCTGGGGGAGGAGATGCAGGGAGAGTGGTCTGAGACGAGTTGAGAAAGGCAGAGGCTTCTCTCTCATACTTTTTCCAAGAGGTTGGGTTCATTGCTGATTTTAAGCTGCAGGTGATATGGTCTTCTTTAAATTATGATACCGTCATCCTGCCTGCACTGCAGAGGATGGGATGTCATGGCAGTGAGTGAGGTAATGGAGGTGAGAGACTTAGACCATTGCATAGTATAGGTGAGAAATTAGGACCACAGGACCATTAGGACCATATTCAGATGATCTGCAAGATCCATTGATGAATTTGATGGAGGAAGTAAGGAATCAAACATAAGGATCTAGACTAAGGCCTAGATTTGGGTCATAAGCACTGAGTGGTTGACAATTCCATCTTACTTAGATGGGAAGAACTGGAGGAGTCTGGGGTGGTAAGAAATGAAGAATTCTATCAGGGAGTACAATATGTCTCATTTCTGTGCTTTATGGTCTTCACAAATACATGCTGACAGAATCAGTAGGAGACATGTACTAAACATACACATGGAGTTTTCATAAAGTCAGTGCATCCAATGTGTAGAGTTCTGGGAAGAGGGGAGGTCTGGAGATGTAAACAGGGATGCTATATCAGTGAGGGTCCCTGCCAGAAACAGATGACACTCTTGCGCAGAAAACAGGAGGAGAATCTGATGAAGGGATTGTATGAAGATGTGGGCAGCAGGTTAAGAAAAACCAACAATAGGTGGCAAAGAATCTCAGAAACTTCTGTAAGTGGGAACCACTTTAAACCCTAGTACTGCAGGGACAAGGGGAAGGACTTTCCGAAGCTGGAGAGAGTTTGTGGTGTGGGAATGGCTGCCCAGGGGGAGCTTCACCCTTCATTAGGGTGTGTTGCAATTACTATTCCATGACCTGGCAGGGAGGGAACTCATCTCCTCCCACCCTCCAGTCACCTTCAGGTTCCTGTTATTGACCAAACACAACAGGAAACCAGAGGACCAGAAGGTCCTAAAGGCCAGGGGCATAGACAGAGTGGCTTCTTGACAACATGTGAGGCTACTGGAGGAAGGGGTGCAGTGAGCCAGAGAGGAAGTGTAGGGGAGGGCAAGGAGAGCTGTTTTATAGGGTAAGAAAGGAGAATGGAGTGGTTCCCCAGTAGTGTGAAGAGGCCCCTGGAATCCATGGACATGGATTTAAAGTGAGAGCAGTGAGTTTTCATCCCCAGCAACACTTAGCTGCTCAGTCAGGTTCAGGTGTAAAGTAAGGAAGGGGTATGGCCAGGTGTGCCCCACAGAGGGAGAGACAGTGGAGAGGCGCATGCTGCCCTTCCAGTTGGGGATGTGTCTTGAGGTCACCATGGTCACCCAATCCTAGTTTCATTTCACTCATTAACTTTATTTGTTCACCTGGAAGATATTATGGTGTGTGAAGGAACCCTGGTACAGAAAGTAAAACTATATGACCTTGCTCACATGTGGAATCTAAAATAGTCAGCCCACAGAGGCAGAGCATAGGCCAGTCTTGTGTCACCAGGGGCTAGAGTAGGAGATAGATGGGGGCTGGGGAGTTGTTGGTCAAGGGACACAATACTTCAGTTATCTAGGAAGAATAAGTTCAAGCGGTCTATTGTCCATCAAGTTGATTTTTGTTAATATCAATGTATTTGACACTTGAAAATCACTATGAGAGTAGATTTCAAGTGTTCCCACTACCAAAAAAAAAAAAAAAAGTTATGTAGGCCTGCTATGGTGGCACATGCCTGTAAATCCCAGCTACTCAGGAGGCTGAAGCAAGAGGATCACCAAGTTCAATGACAGCCTCAGCAAATCAGTAAGACTTATTTCAAAATAAAAAATAAAGAATGGCTGGAGAGGGTTGGTATGGTGGCTCAGTGGCAGAGCCTTGCCTAGCATGTGTGAGGCACTGGGTTTGATTATCAGCATAGCATATAAATAAATTAGTAAAATAAAAGTTCATCAACAACTAAAAAACATTAAAAAAAAAAAGAATGGCTGGAGACATAGCTTAGTGGTAAAGTGACTCTGAGTTAATCCCTAGTACTAAAGAAAAAAAAATAGCCAAATATGTTGTTTAAGTCAGTTTTACATCATTGTGGCCAAAAGACCTGACAAGAACAATACAGAGAAGGAAAAGTTATTTTGACTCCAAGTTTCAGGGCTGCAGTCTGTGGTTCTCTGACTCCATAGACCTGGGTCTGAGGTGAGGTGGAGCATCGTGGGCAGGAGGACATTGTGGATAAAACAGCTCAGGACATGGCAACCAGCATGCAGAGAAAGAGAGAGCTCCACATATCAGGGACAAAATGTAAGCCCCAAAGTCATCCCCTGAGTGACCTACTTCCAGCCACACCCTTTCTGCCTTCAGTTACCACCAAATTAATTCATTCAGTGGCTTAATCCACTGATATGTTACAGTGGACCTAATCATTTCACCTCTGAAAATTCTTGCATTGTCTCACATATGAGCTTTGGAGGACACCATATATCAAAACCATAACATAAGTGAAAACATATAATTCACTTAGGTATTCCACAGCACATATATATTTCAAAACATCATGTTGACCATCACAAATATATACATTTTTATTTGTAAATTAGGAGTAAACATTAAGTTTAGAAGAAGAATCCAGCTTTAATTTATTCAGATACATTATCATATAATCCCTTTAGTAGTGTGTTTAAAACCTTGGACTATGGTGCCAAACTGCATAGATATGAATCCTGGCTCTCCTCCTCTTAGCTGTGTGGCCTTGGGTAAGTCACTTAGTATCTCTGGGCTTCAGTTTCCTCATCTGTAAAAGAAAAGTAATAATCATACCTCTTTCAAAGGGTTGTTTGAGGATCAAATATGTTATTGCTTATAAAATGTTCGAACAACCCGTGGCCTATAGTCTGCATTTTATAAGTGTAATTATTACTATTGCCTGTAGGAGAATCCAGTAGGGGGATGGGGGAGAAAATGTCTAAAGAAAGTGGATGCAAAGTTACTTGTCCCAACATGGATTGTTTCCTGTCCTTCCTGTTTAAGGCAGATCCCTGTCCACTGGGTCATTAACCACAGTGCTGTGCCAGTCGTAAATGCAGCTAACTTTCCTTTTCTTGTAAAGTGGATGACAGCTGGCATTTAAAGAAATAGTGGAAGAGCTTCTTGTGTAGAAGGGGCGTTGGACTTGGATGCAGAAGTCCCAGGGCCAGCCAAGCTCCACCATCAGATGACTTTGGACAGGTCATGACAACCTCCTCAGTTTTCAGATGGGGACATTGAGTCCTAGAGATTTGGCTCAAATCCCCACAATCCCTTCCAGTTCCAAAAGTCTTAACATTGGTTTCTAGCCAGTGCCAGTCGTAAATGCAAGTCCCGTGAAAAACATAAAAAAAAAAAAAAAAAGGAATCTTGGAATCAAATAGTCAAGAATTGTGTTTATTTCTTTAGCCCAGTCAGGAAAAGACCATGTTTATCCCTGGAATTCAAGTTAATGTTGGGAATGGTAAAGGTGCTAAGCCAGGGATTTTATTAGTTCTTGGATCCATAAGGTTGTAAGGTTGTTCCAGTGAATTTTATCACCTCCCCAGTTTGGATGCTTCTCTACTTATGATGGACTAAATCCCAGTAAACCATCATAAATTGAAAATATCATGGTCAAAAATGCATTTGACACACCTGCTCTAGCTTAACTTAGTCTACTGTGCTCAAAACATTTACATTGGACCTCGGCTGTACAAAACCAGCAAACAACAAAGCCTATTTTATATAATTTTAAAAAGGTTAGTATCTTGTGTACTAAGTGGACAGCAGGTTGTACGGGTTCACTTTTGCTCATCCTAAACTGGGGACCATCCATACCCTCCACCCACACTGTTCTTCTAACCCTGTGATCTTAAACTGTGCTATAATGGTCTTATTTCTACCAAAGTATTTTTTTTAATATTTATTTTTTAGTTGTAGGTGGACACAATATCTTTATTTCATTTTTATGTGGTGCTGAGGTTTGAACCCAGTGCTTCACACATGCTAGGTGAGCACTCTACCACTGGGCCACAGCCCCAGCCCCCAAAGTATCTTTGACACAAGCCAATGCACTTTGTAATCCCATATTGACACCCAAATCTGATTAGGGGATTTTCTTTCGATGGCTTCTTCTAGGGTTCCTTCTACCCACCTCATTCCTTTGCTCAGCTGTGGTCAGCTGAGCTTTGCTCCATAGTAAGAAGAAAACCTTCACTTATTACATGTTCGCAGGGCTGTATATTGCAGGGGTGGGTCCCGCCAGCCATGCAGTGAAATGAGCTATGAAATCCCAGAGGGAGTTTGACAGAGAAGCTGCTAGACTTCTTGCCTTTGTTGTTCCTTCTCCTACCTCCTCTCAACCCTCTCTCACTCAGGCTAACAAGAAAAGGTGCTTTCAAAGTGACAAGGCTAATGTTTGCATTTGACAGTGGAGCACCCTGCTTGTGCCCCTTTAATGTACATTTGAGTAGACTGTGGGGCTTGGGAGTTGTGTAGCTTCCCCACCCAGGATTCAGGGCTGATGGTTCACGTGTCCCGACAAAGAGCATCGAGTGCTGTTCTCCAAAATGAAAGACAAGCAAGCAGATGCGGTGTGTCTCATCAGCAACCCTTCTCCCAGTTCCTCTGCAAATGCAGGTTTATGAAAAGAAGCACTAACTCAAATCACAGAATCCCGTGTTTGAAATAAATGGTCTTGCAACAAACATTTCCGTCTGCAAATGTCTAAACTTTTCAAAAGATTAAAGGAAATTAGTGCTGGCATGTTTCATTAATTTGGCACCACTGCGGAGGAAATGTGGTACTCATTTCATTTGGTTGGATTATGAAATGTGTCAGTTTTTCCATTCTCTTTCTCCAGGGCATTTTTTTACTGCAAGGCCTGTCATGATGACATCACAGATCCCAAAAGAATTAAAAAATGCGGCTGCAAACGGCGTAAGTAGTGTTTCTTTCCCCCTCCCCACCCCCCTCCTTCCTAGTCCCCCAAATTCATTTTCCTTCCCCTTTCCCTATGAGAGAAACATTAAACATCAAGAGTTCTCTTGAATATGTTTATGTTTCACACCACAATTTCAAAGAAATATGAAATAGCCATCCTTGCTTTGTTGGAGGACGAAAAATCACCACCAATAATACCTAGGGGTAAACTTGGTACCCAGTCTCCATTTCTTGACTCCAGAGGATATGTCCAGTCTAATAGTGTCAAGTATGATGTGAAAAAGTGGGACACCCAGCCAGCTGCTGTAGTGCATGCCTATAATCCCAGCTACTCAGGAGGCTGAGGCAGGAGGATTGCAAGTTCAAGGCCAGACTGAGCAATTTAGCAAGGCCCTGTCTCAAAATTAAAATAATGAAGAAGAGATAAGGGTGTACAGTTCAATCCCCAGGACCAAAAAAAGAAAGAAAGGAAAAGAAAGGAAGTAGGACACTAAGATTGTACTAGATGGAGTGTTTTTGTGTAGTGATTTCCAGTGGACAGGAAACCACTACGTAAAGATGGCTATGCTAGGGCTGAGAGTGAAACTGAATCTGAGAGCTCAGTTTCCGAAATGGGAATTGACTCTCTTTCCCTTTGGAATTCCTGTGGGCTTTAGTACCAAAGGTCAGAGTTTTTCATTGTGACTCCCTCAGACCACTCTAAGAAAAGAACATGGCTCTAGCCAAGGACCTTGATCACCATTGTCCCAAAGACCAGCCTTGGGGTAGATGGATTGGGCTGAGTAGCTTCTGGCCTAGCCTGTAACATGCCTCTTCTAGAGCAGCTGGGGCCTCAGTGGTGAATCAGAGACACTGGCTTGGAGCTTCCCAGAGACCAGGAGTTATAGTTTTGACCTTGCGAAGGCCATGCCTTTTGCAGCATCAATGCTGCATTGTCTAGTAGAAATTGCTGTCAACCCTGGAGAAAGAAAAATAATGATGCCTCCCTTTCCTTCAGTGTTTGAAGAACTCCTTGTGATGACAGCTTTGATCCTCACTATAACCCTGTGTAATTGGTAGGGGGTGTTATTAATCCCATTTTACAGAAAGAGGCATGGAGGCTTCCAAGTTTAGTGAGAGGATGAGATTGCTGGCAGTCATACAGCCAGTGTGCAGGGATTCAGGTCCCCAGAGGCCTTTCTTGATGCTGTTCTCTGAGTGCCTTAATCTTTATTGCAGGATGGAATGGCCAGATAGGTGACCTCGGGTTTGATGAGTACAAACACAGTCATAAAAGATCACACTATAAAATACTTTTTCACATGCACACCAGACAGCAGAGTACCACCCCTGGATTATCCCAACTGAAACAGGGCCTTTCCCCTCTGTGCTCTTGAAGGAGCACCTGCACAACCAGAAAGATAAAAATATAGTTCCACTAGAGCCCAAATAAGTTAATCAATCCCTTGGGCCAGTACCCATAGGGCAGCTCTTGGTCTGGAGAACTTTCTGTGGAAATCCTTTCAGACTGGCTCCCAAACTAGCTAAGTCCTACCATCTTGCTCCCTTCTCCATTGATTTAATATATTCAGCACCCCCTCCTCCTAACGCTGTCACCTAACCAAGATGTGTATTTATTGATATCTTATAGCAAGAGCCTCTGACTTCTTGGAACCTATGAATTTCTCCCATTCTGACACTCTCCCAGAGAGAGCATCTGAGAGGCTCAGAAGCAAGTTCACTCCACGTCTAATCTCACCCAGGCTCCATGACTCCAGACACCCTTCCCATGAGGCAGTCAACCTAGCCCTGCTTGGCTAATTATGAATACAGAAGCTCATTTGGCCAGGCATCACCTGGGTTGTTTCCATCAGAAGGTACAGGACATCCTGAGGGTAGAGGTAAACAGAAAATAATAAATACAAGAGGGCAAACTCTTCTGTAAGGATGCTCTTGCAGTGAGGGGTTTAGAAAAGGTGGAAGAGTATTGAGGATAACAGTCCATGAAAGGGTATTTATTTTCCAGAGACCCTTGTCCCACAGGGGTATCAATGAAATGGCAAGACTACACACAGCGAACTGTTGAGTGAGCTTTCACATATTTTTGAGTGCCCTTTTGGGGCAAGGTGCCATTCTTGGTGCCAAGAATTGAGTGGAGAAGGATATGTATATCATCTCGCCCTCCTGAGACATTCCTGCTAGCAACAAGACACAAACCATCACACCAATAGTTAAATAAGCTCAGAGCCAAGTGCAGAGAAGAGAGGCAAGCCTGTCTGAGAATATGAGGTGCCTAGTTGGAATGCTACTGTTTCCCAGCTTGGAATGTCAGAAAGGTCTCCACTGGGAGGTTACATTGAAGCTGAGCCCCAAGGCCAAGTAGGGAGAAGAGTGAGGGAATAGGACAAAAGTGCCCGAGGGATGACAGAGCAGCTGGTGGGGTTGATGGCACTGGGGAAAGAGTGGTACTTACCCAAGATTAGAGAGGAAGGCCAGGTGGTGGTAAGAAGCTGGGTCTTAGTTCTATACCAGGAAGCTGTTAGAAGTGTTCAAGCAAGAAAACCACATCATCACTTGTCAGTTGAAAAGATCTCTTTGGTGTCTTGGTCAGAAGGGAAGAAGTAGCAGGCTAGAGAGAGAGAGAGAGCTTCATTGATTCTTGTTGCAAAACTAAATGTCCCTCCTAGGACACTAGTGGATCACAGCAGACCATTTTAAAAATCCTTGCAAATAAGGATTTGACCTCCAGGATATTTTTTCCATCTTGATTCCAGGCAAGCAAATAGCACTGAACTTTAGCTTCATCCTGGGGGAGAGGTATGTCATTATTTAAAAGAACTTTATTCTCTTAAAGTTGGTTGAACTAATAAAACGTATGATCTCCCATCATGCAAGGGCACACATTGCTATATAAAGCCTGCCTTGACCAAGCCAAGCCAGTGTGACAAGGCCCTCGGCTATGAGGTTAATATTTGATAGAACAATCAGAGTTGTCCAAATGCTGTTCTTCCTAATTAGCCTAGAGGGCAGGATGTCAATGTGTGTGTATGGGAGGGGGGTTAGAATAAAATGAAATTATTGAGTAGCAACCTTTCCATGTTAAGTCAGAAAAGTGAGGAGACTGGAGAAAATATGTTTTGGTTGAAAAGAAGTTTTCATTAGAAAGAGCTAGGGACATTGGTAACACACTGGGGGAATCCCATACTTTGGGGTAGGCATTGACTGGTACCCTAAGTTGGAGAGGGCATTTGACCCACCAAGTCACTTGTCCAAATCTGTTAGTCCAAATGTTAATAATTCACCCCCAAATAGTATGTGTCCATGAGGGCAGAGCTAATGATAGTCGCTAGCTTCCTAACCCTCCTTCCACAGCTTCCTTTGTCCACAGCTTCAATCCCTCCTCCCCCAACCCAACTCTTCCCCTTCCAGCTCTGCCCTTTCCTTCCCATTCCCTTTCATTCAGTAACCTTCAATGTTTCGTGTCATATTACCCAGAAAAATATGGAGTTTGGACATTCCATTTCTGGAAAGTCTGTGGTGGTGGTCCAGTTTAACTTTTGCATTTCTTTCCATTTCTTCATAGCTCTTCACCCAGAACATGAGTCCAGTCCAGCTACCTGTCCAAGGAGCAAGCTCTCAGACTCAACCATTTACCCATTTTCTTTTTTTTGTGTAACAAACCTGGTCTAATGATTTACATTTTCCCTCCTAGCCTCTGAAAGTTTGCCAAAGGGTAGTCTCCTAGGGGACAAGTCCTATCTAGATTGATGTGTTTGAAGAAATTTTCTTTAATTTCTGATCATTGACATATCTTTGATTTATGTTTTTTCTCTTTGCTGCCTTGGGATACGGCCCCCCTACTCTATTTAAACTGCACACTGGTAGTGATCTATTGTGAGTAAAACGGGTTCCTACCAGCCCGGAGTCTAGTTGCCCTGTCTTTCTCTAGATGAGATACTTCTTTCATTTTCTGTACAGTTTCAATTTCATTTTACTTTTGGTATACATGTTGCATGGAGCAGTGACATCATGCCCCAATTCGCTCATGCCCAACATGGTCTGCAGAGTAGCCTGGAGCCAGAGAGTACCTGGAGCCCACCCTCCACACAGCCACCCACCCTCAGCCTCTGGCCAGCTTCTGATGCTGTCTTATTTTTACATTTGAAAATAAGACCTTGACAACAGTGTGTTTCTCTTGAAGGCCTTTCTCAGGACTTTGAAGGACACTGATTAGATTGGAGTAATTACCACTCTAGCTCTAGATGCCTTGTCCATTGGGGGTCATTATCATGCTTGCCTTTGATAAATTATACTTGGTCTCCTCTGCTATGGAGCTTGAATTCCTCCCCAGAAGGAAACACATAGGTTACATATATATTCCTGTGTTGTGATATATATATGATGTGTACCAGTACTTTATATGTAAAAATGTATATTTTTATATATAACTGTAGAGATATTCCATAGAGAGAGGGATGTATTTACTACAGTATATGTGCCTCTTTATACAAGAAGGGGCTTCCTAGAGAATTAATTGGCTATCCACTTTTAGAATCATAAGTATCTAAACTGCCTTCCTGGAGACAAGTATTTGCACAGTGGTAATTATTTCCTACAGTCTATGAAGTTCCCTTGCTTTAAAACAAAGGTTCTCTTTTAGTCACTATGAAGTAAGACCTTTCCTATTTCTCTATAAGCATTAGTCAGACATCTAGGAAGAATTGTTTACTTGTTTAAGTAAGAAATACGGGCTCATGAAGGATGCTCCATTTCATTAATGAGTTCTGTAGGGGTTTGAAGGAGTCCATTTTAAGTTTTGGGTGATTCCCCCTCACCCAACCAGATGTGGCAATTGAGGAGGAGCTTTTAAGGGCAGCATTACAGAGTGTGACTGACAGCAGCGTTGCTCTCAGGGACACCATCAGCACTGGGTCTTTACTCACAAACTTTACTAGACTCCGCTGAAATTGAAATGAGACTCAATCCATAACTCATTCAGTCTAACGGCTCTGAAACTT